ACCCCTACTGGCACTGGGAGGCCTGACTTACGTCGGAGGCGAGGAAGATACTGCGCTCCAAGAGTTCCCATGCGCCTCGGCATCTCATCCGGCGTAACCGAGGGGCCCAAACTGGCCCCGTCGACAGCAGCATAACGCAGGGTGTCCGCTCTGGGGACGATATTTTTGTTTTTGTTGCGATCTTTTGATCTTTCGTCCAGAATCTGCCAGTCGGTGGACATGCTGTACCTAATGCCAAGCATGGTGGCGGGCACCGGGGCCCGTCGACTACCCTCCGGGGTCGGCGGTTGCCCAGAGTCGCACACCTCCGCTGGGCACGCTCTCCGTGGCTCTGTGGGCGGGGCCGCGGGCGCAGAGTACTGTGGAGAGTTCACATCGTGATGCGCGGGGCGCCTAGACTTAAGTCGAGCCTGTCCCTCGACAGGAGGCATATTTAGAATTTGGCAAAAAATGGTATGGGGACGATTTGTTTGTTATTGAATCGCTTCGCTCATTCCGCCGGCCCGTGATATGGCATCGCTGGTTTTTGTCTGTGTGTTCGTTGCCCATGTTGCGCTCTTGGGGGCGGGTGTCGTTCGGACGCGTTGCGTGGGGAGTTTTGATGGTGAAGCAGTTCCCTGGGGTCGTCTCTCGATGGGGCGAAATAGAGTCGTCGTCAAGATGCTTCTTTGGGGGGCCTCTTGGGGTCTGTTGAGAGGCCGTTCGGGGGCGCCTGGGAGACATGTTTGAAGCCTTCTGGGGCTTCTTTTGGGCCTCCTGGGAGTCTCCTGGGGCCTCTTGGCGACATCTTGGGGCCTCTTGGAGGCCTCTTGGGGCCTCTTTGGGACCTCCTGGGCGCCTTCTGGGACGGAGGGCTCCATTTTTGAGTTCTCGGTATCCCTCCTGAGTCCCTCTTGGGCCCGTCTTGGGGCCTCTTGGTCCGTCTTGGGCGGCACTTGGGCCGTCTTGAGGGCTCTCTTGGGTCGTTTCGGCGCCGTCTTGGAGCTTCGTGGGCCGTCTTGGAGCTGTCTTGGGGGCCTCTTGGGCCGTCTTGGAGCGTCCGGAAGCCGAAAAAACCAGAACACACAAAACATAGAAAAAACCAATGAAAATCAACGATTTTGGCCTCTTGGGGCTCTCTTCGGAGGCCTCTTGGAAGGCTCTTGGGGCGTCTTGGAGGCCTCTTGGGCTGTCTTGGGGGCCTTTTGGGCCGTCTTGGGGTCATCTTCGGCGTCTTCGAGCGCTCTTTGGCGTCTCGGGGGCCTCTTGGGCAGTCTTGGGGGCCTCTTGGGGCACTCTGAGCGCGCTCTGGGGAGCCTGAGAGGCCGCACCCAGAAGGAAAACCATCTCTGAGTAGACTTGGTCGGGCGGTGGTCGGGCGGCGGTCGGGCGGCTTTTCGCCGGGGGACCCCCAGGGGCCGCCCCGCGCGCGCGAACTAGAAATACTGTTAATATTGTTAACCAGTTACCGGAGATCTTAGCACGCCCTGGCCCGTTGGGCCGGCGAATTTTTTGTTGGCACGTTTGGAATATGTTTGGGGTAGTTCTGATTTGTCGTCCGAAGTCCGCCTGTAGAGGGACATGCCCGACTTCAAGCTAGTGGTTGCGCTTGGGCGCGAAAGGGGTGTGCCGTGGTGCATTTGCGCAGTCAGTATCGTGTGGTTTTCGAGCGTTCGTGCGCATGCACAGGTCGGCACTTACCAGCAGGCAGAGCTCCTAACCCCCACGGGGATGTAGGTTTTAGGGGGGTGATTCCCACCTGGAACTCCACCCTTCGACTCCGCCTGCTCGCACCTCTGTGCGCCATGGCATCTGGATCAGCAACCGTCAGCCTGGCGCACATGTTCGAGAAAGCAGAGGTCCCGCAGGCTCTCGCGACTTTCATTTCCGACACGTGCATGGTCGCGACCAAAGCTACGTGGCGCGCAGCTAGTTCGAGGGAGTTCCGCGACCTGGTGGTTGAACGGTTCCTGGTCGACACGGCGGCGGAGAACGTGACTGTCTTCATCGTCTTGCAGCAGCATTTCTACATCACGAAGCTCTGGGCGGGGTGCCGTCTTGCACTCGAGGCGGAAGCGCAGGCGGGCGCGGCGAAGAAGCGCAACCAGGCGGACAAGGTGGAGACGGACACGGACACGCCGCTGGGCCCCGAGATCGAGCAGTCCTTGGCTGACGGGTGGGCGATCTTGCACGCTTGACAGACCATGAAGTCAACGAATCAGCTCTTAAATTTAAGAGCCGGGTGTTCCGCGAGTTCCGTGCTGGACCACCCTGCATGCAGTTGAGAGCGCGGCGGCCCGCGTGCATTCGATGCGCCCACAGGCGCCAGACCGTCTACCAGTTGGCGGGGGCGCAAGCGTCGGCGAAGGCGCTCTGGTTTACGAGACCGTCCGGCTGGCCACCTGCGACCTCAGTGCCCCCCTCTTCGGGTGCGTCGCCTCGCCGCGCCTCGCCATGGGCACGCGCGCGCACTGCGGCCCGCGCCGAGCAGCCTCTTAGAAGGGCCAGGCGAAGACACTTGCATTGGTTCCATGGGAGGCTGGTACGCCGACGACGCCATGGAGACGGTGCTCTAGAGCCCCATTTCCGAGGGCAGAAGTTGGCTCGGCTGCGCGCGCGCGGGGCGAGACCACCTGCGCCGAGGTGGCGCAGTTGAGCATCGATGGCTGGCCAAGGAGCGGGGCCTTGCATCGGGCAGCCGTCGCGCAGGCGCACTAAGTACTGGGGGATGGGGGGCAAGGCGGCGGCCGCGCAGGCCGCGCCCGGCCAGGAGCTATCGGGGGCAACGCGGCCCCGCCAAAAGCGGGGCGGCCACCGCGAGGACCGCCCGCCCAGGTTGTGGGGCAACGACAGAATTGGCATGGGCGGCGAGGGCAAGAACATTAACGAGCTCGAGGGTATCAGCGTCATCAACGTCGACCCGCAGGGCGCGGCGTCCTGCGGCAAGTGGAATGGCAGCGGCTGCGCGCGCTCGGAGAAGGATTGTCCAACGCGAGCGATGTTTGTAGCGTGAGGATCGAGCGCGGCGCGGTGTGCGGCCGGACTGACCACGCAGCCCTGAAGCACTGGGGGCAGCGGCCTCCACGTTGCTCCCCGATGCCCGGCGCCCGGAGGGGCCACTCGTCTTGCTCCCCGCGCCCTCGAGGGTGAGATGGCTCGGGCACTGGCGCGGGCAGGGCGGCGCCTCCGACGCAGACGCAGGCAGGGCGCCGGCACGCAGTCCGCAGCCGCGCGCTCGCCACCCCAGACCTTCATCATCAGGGAGATGCGCGCCCCCGGGATCTCGAACGAGGCACGTCAGGCGCGCGCGCGCCGACGGCTTCCAGCGCGAGCGATTCCGCCCAATCCTCGACGACTGGAAGTTCGAAGGTTTCTGTGGCAGCGCCGCGCCCTTGCCAGGACCGCCCCGGCGCGGTGCCAGACTCGGGCCTCGGCGCCAGGGGGGGGGCTGTGGCCAGGAATTGGGGCGATCGGCAGCCTCTGGCCCGTCTGCGCCGGCCGAGCGGGGCCGGCAGCAAAGACGCGCATGGAGGTGGCCCCAGGGGCGCCCAGAACCGGATCAGCTGCACGCGGCCAACACACGTCGTCTGGCGGAGGCGAGGCGAGCTCCCGCCGCTGCCCCGGCGCCCTGGCCCACGCCCTGCAGGGGTTTGGTCTTGGTGGCGGAATTGTGGTCGGGATTTGCTGGGCCGTCGGCTGCTCCGCTCGCCCCGGGCACTCGGCGCGCTGCGCTGTCGGTCGAAGGCGATGCTGCCCCGAGGCAGGTCGTCAGCGAGCAGGCCCCCCACGCGGCCCCCGACGGGCTGGCCGAGCGCGCCGCGGCCGACGCCTTCAAGCAAGTCCTCAGTAGACGAAACCCGTGGCTGAACTCAAGACAGGAAGACGCCTGCGAACGATCCCAGGGCGTTTCGCGCCCGGGAGTTGCAGCGCGTCGCAGATGGATTGGAGGCCTTGCCTCAACAATAGGCCTGCCCAGTTCCAGTCCTCCGATTTTTGGCGGGCGCGGCAGCGGCGCCCTGGGAGGCGCCGCCGCCGCGGGTTGATGTTGCGGGGCTGGGTTCGCAGTGACCACCGCCTCCGGCTGCGCGGGCCCTGCCAATGGCACCCTGGACGCGCGCGAGCAGTTGCCAGACGGGATCAGCATGGGGTGGCAGCGCGAACCCAGCGATGCCAGATCACCATCACGGACTTGACGTCATTCCCTCCCTCGGTCATCTTCGCCAGCGGTACCGCGCCGCGTCTCGGGCCCCCCTGCGCGGCCGCCCCGGGCGGCAACGAGCGCGCGCGCGCGCGCTCGCCGGGGATTTCTGGCACGCGCTGGACGGCGTTGAGGGACTCGATGGCGGCGACGGAACGCTTCCTGGCCGATGGGCGCAGGCCCCGCCCACGGCATATGACGCAAACAGTCCGCAATGGCGGATGGACAAGTGGCGCCAGACGGGCCCGCGGGAGAAGGCGCCGACGCATGGAGTGCCTCAGTCGCTGGTTCGTTATAGGTCAGGGGGAAGAGCATAATTTGCCATTGCAGAGTTGAGCGACATGACGTACCCACCCTTCGGCCACGTTGGCCACGATCATGTTTGTTTTCTTGCCTCGCACCCTGAACGAAGGCCTCGACGCGATAGCAGTAGAGTCATGGGCAAGAGGAAGTTTGGCGCAGTCGTGTGGCGGGCTCCGCTGAGCACGATAACCCCCTGGACAGCTTCCCGGGCCTGCTCTCCAAGCAGGATTTTCTGGGGGGCGTGGGGCAGCAGATGACGGCGCCCGTGGCAGACCGCGTCTCAGCGCAGGCATGCCGAGCCCGGTCGATCGCGGGCCTCTGGCGTGCACGGTGCTTCTGGGCGCTCGTCAAGATGCGCGGCTTCGCCAGCGCGGGGGCGCGGCCCGCGGGGGGCGCGCAGAAACGCAGTGCCTTTCCAAGGCGAGCTTGACCAGCGCGATCCTGGCGACTCCAAGCGCGGCCTTGACCATCTGCCCCCCCCCGGCCTGGGCCCGGGGCAGCCTGTGCTTCGGCGGCGCAGATGCCGTCGCCGTTTGGCCAGGGCGGGCCCATGGGCGACGATTTGCATTTTGCGGCTGGGCTGACGGTCATCTTCGGCCAGTTAGCTCATGCATGTTGGGGTCGCCATGGACAGACGTTGCGGCGCCCTTCCGCGGCGTCGGAGCCCGATCGAGTTGCGTCATCGCCGCTGCGGTCGTTCACCTCCTAGGCGGCGGCGGCGACCAGGGACGCTCATGGCGTCGCAATCTTCGCCGCGCTGCTGAGGTGGCCCGGCGGGGCGCGGGCAGAGCGACCTCCGCGATTCCAAATTTGTCACCGAAGACATCGGGATCTCATACGTCTTCATAGACGCGCGGCCGCAGAATTTGCAGGGGGCTTTCTTCGGCCAGCCAGCAGCGGAGGAAGGGAGTTCACGGCCACCAAAGAGGCGACCGACATCTGGAGGCAGGCGCAGGAGGAGGCGGAGAAAAGGTTTTGCCGAGGCTCTTAGCACAGAGGGCACTGAGGATCAGTCGGACCGTAGGTTTGGGTCGGCCAACTGGCAGCCCATATAATTAAGATTTCTTCCTGCGCCAGCCGGACGTGAAAAGCAGGGTCATCGATGGCTGCAGATGCCGCGGGCGAAAAGTGCGGTCGGCCTTGGAAGAGACGTTCTGCGCCATAGATGACGACGCGGCGCCAGCCATGGTCAAGCTGCTCGTGGACCAGACCATCAAGTTTTACCGGGCCGCTGATTTTCCGGATTGGTTTGCCTGCAGCATGGATCTGATGACTTGCCACGTGCATTTCGTGGCTGCCTCTTCCACCCATCCCTGCAGAACGCGGCCGACGCGGCAGCGCGGTCGCCGCGCGGGCGCTAGTGGATGTTTGGAGGCGTGAAGGGTTGCCCGTGCGGGCTTGGGTCCGTGGCTGATGCGTTCAAACATTTCCTTGCGTTGATCGCGGCAGTGTTGCGTCGGGTACTGGGGCTCATGGCCGCCGCGTATTTTGACGAGTGATCCTCCCAGGATGCGAAGGTCTGTCAGCAGACCAGTTTTGCCAACATGGGCCCGCCGCCAAAGCCTTCGAATCATGTCCGATGCTATGGCACTTAACCTTCCTTGGTGCAGGTATTAACGCATGCAAAGTCTGCGCAGGGGGCTGCGGGTCACGTCAACAGAAACGGCACGGCAAGCGGTCAGCGACATCCAGCTGGCGTTGGACACTGGCAGAATGGCCCAGGCGCAGGTGGCGGAAACTCGAGGGCGAACGCGCGGGTCTGCACCGACACGTCCGGGCGTTTGAAAAAAAAGGTTGGGTTTGGCGGTCCGGTTATTTTCAGGAGGGGAAGAACGCTCAGACACAATTAATCGTCGACCCCCGGGAAAGAAAAGGAAAAATATCGGAAGTGGGGGGAGACACAAGCCCAGAACATATGGGAACATGTTGGTAATCTTGTTATTTGCGTGCATTTATTTGTGTGCCCAGGGCCCCTTTCACATTTGTTTCGCACGCGACGCGCAACGATGCCACCAGTTGGCGGCGGCTGCCCCTGAAGCCCAACATACTGCATCGGAGGTTGGGGGGTGAGATCGCAGTGAAACGCAGACCCCCCGCCGGGGAATCGGTTTCGGTTTCGCGTTCGCGCCGTCCGCGCGGGCGAGGCGAAGCTGCGCGTGGTCCTTCTGTAGCTAGGCCGAAGTAGGAGCGAAAGTCCGTCCCCGTCCGCCGGTAGCTGGGAGGTGTCCCAGTTGGGCCGGGCGGTGTCCCGGGTGTCCCGGGTGTCAGTAGGAGCGGAAGTCCGTGTCCCGTCCGCTGGTGGCCGAGAGGTGTCCCAGTTGGGCCGGGCGGTGTCCCGGGTGTCCCGGCGCTAACGCATGTCGTTAATTTCATAATTCATTTTTTCGGCGTTTGCGGCGGGCTTTCTCTTCTTCTTTTGAGGTCGATAGTGAGATCGAGAGTGAGATTCACCAATAGGTCGGTCGACGGATAGGTAAATAGTGGAATCGCATCGCCATCGGGATCATCACTGCGGTGGAGGGAGACTCTGATAGAGAGGGAGTAGAGAGGGAGAGAGAGAGAGAGTGAGAGAGATAGAGAGAGAGAGAGAGAACAGAGAGAGAGAGAGAGATAGAGAGACAGAGAGAGATAGAGAGAGACAGAGACAGAGAGAAAGGGGGAGATGAGATCAAGGTGACAGGCTGGAGGTCAGTCAGGGCGGGCATTGATTTCACCCCCCCCCCCGAACCTCCACGTCGCCCGCAGGGCGGTAGTATTGGCATATATTCTGGCGCCAGGCACCAGCCAGGCAGCGGACCGCTGCCACGGGTGGGTGGGGCCCTCTCCCCGAGCAATGGCGAGCAGCCCATCGGCCAGACGCTGGAGCTGCCCCAAGAAATCTGCACGGCGTGGAGGCGCCCGCAGCAAATCTTCCCCGCAGAGGCCATCGCGCTGACCATCGCCACATGGTCGGTGCATCTCTACGTTCGCCACCTAGGTATCATTTGGTTCACCAACAGCGAGACCGCAGCGTCGGCAGGCAGTCGGGGGATTTCTGATGAGCCGCAGGTGGAGATCGCAGCGCAGGTCTCGCACTTGCGCTTGTTGCGGGTGGGGTGCCAGGCGTGGATCGGGTGGGTCGATTTTCGCCCCATGCTGGCTGGGGGTCTGAGCAGGGCAGGCCTTGCTGAGCAGTGGACCCAGCAGCAGAAGTGGTGTCGAGCTGAGTCCACGGTGACACGTTGGTCGGGTGTCACCAGGTTAAACACGATGGATTGTTCCAAGCCCTGTGGAACTACATTGGGCCAGATGGAGGATTACATTGGGCGCCGAGCAGTGGCCTAGATGGCCAGCGCCCACGTCCTCGGGCCAACATCGCACCAATGTACACACCAGTATGTTGGTCGCAGGGGGCGGTCTTCGGGCAATGTGGCAACCGCCACTTCCAGAGGCAGGCCCAACGAGGCCCGCCTGGAGCACCAGCGGCCCATGACCCGCAGCGCCGGTCGCCACTTGAAGCTACTCATCATTGTGAGCTGAGGCCTGCAGAATTCAGAACAGGAAGAAACACATAAACACAAATGGTTTTATTGGTTTTACGCCGGCAGGGGGCGTCGTTGAGAGGGTGCCCGGCACGGATGCGGGGATCGGGGTGGCGTCGGTGTTTGGGGCTGGCGGTTTGCGTGGCAAGTGCGTTTAGCTGGCCCCATGTGTTTGGGGCGCGTGAAGGGTGGAACGGCCGCTCATCAGCAATTGACAGCCCTCTGCCCGCGTGCCAGAATACATGGTCGCGCGATCGCAACGGGGCTTTGAAAGGGGGTTGGGAAGAGAGCGCGAGTCTCCTCCCAAAAAGTCCGTTCGACAGGCAGCAAACAATTCTTTTTCTATTCATGTGCCGCACGGCCAACCGAACGAACGAACAACTGTCTCGGCGCGCAGCGTTAGCTTCGCTTGCGCGCATCCTGGCTTCCTTCCGTTGCTTCGTTCGCTTATTTCTCACCCTTCTCTCCCTTTCCCTCTCCCCCTGCTTTGCCTTGTCCCGCCGCCCCTTCCTTTCCAGTTCGGAGCTGCCACCGCGCGCGAAAAGCGCGACCCAAAGGGCGCTGCTGCAATTCCTTTGTGCGCCACGAAGTCTCGCGTAATTCCTTTGTGCGCGGTCTGGTTATATTGCCAGCGCAGGGGGCGCGCAAAGGAATCCCCTTTGCGTGCGATCGTGTTCGCCGGCCCCACAAGAGCATGCGCGATCCCTTTGTGTAGAGCTTGTTTTCCCGCCTCGAGGAGCGCGCGGGGCCCGGCGCTGCAAACACAAGGCCGCGGCGCCTGGCAGCGCGATGTAGCTGCGCGGGATACAAGCTTATGCCGAAATCGCGCTGGCAGCTGGCCTGCATGCCCTCGCGCGCTACTGCGTTCTGCTGCCGCGACGCGCGCCGCTGTCAAGGGATGAACAAACTGACGTTGCATGGTGGTTTGGCTGTGCCAAACCACCATGCAATGTCTGTTGGTAGCAGAGCTTGGGATCTTGTCGCCGCCGACAGCGCTGCCACACCATGCCTTTCAATTGCATCTTAGAGCACGTCCGTACATCAACCCTGGGTCGGATCGCCTGGGATCCAGTGGCATGGGTGCACATGCGTTGCGCCTTTGGTGGTACCAAAACCCTTTGTCTGAAATTCATTTGCGTGCGTGTTTTGATATTGCTCCTAAGAACAAGTCGCTGCCATGACGTCCGAGCTTGAACCCATCTTGTGCGGCTAGCAATCGCAGTAAAACCAGGCATATCCATCACCTGCGCGAGTGCGGAACGCTTTCAGGAATTCCCAGCCTCGTCTTCTCGGGAATGTAGATGTCACGGAGACGGTGCGGGGGGTTATCGTACACAATTTGCCGCCACACATTGTCTTTGGGGAGATGATATTGCGTCACGCGCACGGTGTCCATGGGCGACACGGAGCCGTCAATTATCCTTTCCTGGGCGCAGGCACCGGGGTAGCAGCAAATATCCCCCCGGTGCATGTTCATGCGTGCGCGCACGGGTGGCCGAAGATATTTCCTCCTCTTTTTCCTCCTGTTCCTCCTCCTCCTCGCCTCCTTCGTCGTCCTCATCCCTTCTCCTTCCCTCCTTCCTTCCTTCCTTCCTTCCTCATTTTCTCTTTCCTCCTTCGTGGTCCTCTCTTCGCCCGCCCCCCCCCCCCCGGCAAAGGTGCGCCACCCCGAATGGGCTCCTCTGGGGAAGCGGAGGTCCACAGCAGGAGCACACTTGGGCTAGAGCACAATATGGTGCGAAAGTGGGGCAGATGGGGCGCGGGGGGGGGGCGAGTAAAGAAGGAGTAAGAGGAAGAGGACGAGAAAGAGCAGATCGGCGAGGAAGGCCAGGAGGACGAGAAGGATAATGGAGGAGAAGGAGGAGAGGATGACAGGGAACGGGAGGGGGAGGAGGATATATGAGGACGAGAGATGATAGGAGGCGGAGGAGGAGGAGGAGGAGGAGGAGGAGGAGGGAAAACATAGTGCAAGGAACGCAAGAGATATAGCGTCTCCCTGGGAGGCGTTCTTACGAATGACTCCCAGGCGTTGCTTCTTCACAGATGCGCCCGGGAGGACCACCGTGCGCTGCTCTTCGGCAGCCGCTTCGGGCCCCGCGGGGAGGAGAACCAGAAGGGCAGGAACGCTGCGGCGTTGCTGGCCGCGCGAGGGCGCGAGGCGGTGGAGGAGCAGAACGAGGAGTTCATCGACGCTCTCGCGCTGAAGGCGGCC